ACTTTTTTGTCAACTTGAGATAAACTCAAGTCACGTTTAGTAGGTTTGTCAACTTGATTAGCACTAATCACATTGTTTTCATTTGGCCCGTCATTCGTATCGTAAAAATCATCTTCACATCCGCATAATGTTACATATTTGCCACACTTATCGCACTTGCTCGTTTCACATTTGAAAGCCATATGTCCATACACTTTACACTTACGACACTGTATTTTTGGGCATTCCTTTTTTTCGTGATCAGGTGAAAGACATTTGAAACATACTTTAGATTGGTTGTTGTGTACCACCTTAAATGTCTGTGGGCCATCGGGTGTATCGAACTGCATGGCCCAAGGTAGCGAATGAAAATTAGGAGGGAATGTACACTTAACGTGCCTAGTACCGTCAGCAACATCTGGCCTTTGCTTGTAATAATGCCTCACAACTTTATCTACTATTTCAATTTTGTATTGTTCTAATTTGTCGGTTATTACATTGTCATCGATATGGCTAGGTAGGTTAAATATCGAAACAACTGTGTTTTTAGAGAAACACAACTCAACTGAATAGTTATCATTATCAATAGTCAATCCTTCTTCGCATAGTCTCATTGCATTTTCAACAGAATTCAAAGTTATTTCTATACTATTTGGGGGTCTAGGCACGCATGCAAATACAGAGCCTTCGCCAATACATCTTTCTGCAGCTTCAATAAAATTAATCATGAAAACCTTTTTCAAATCAACAGCATTTACCTTTACAGTATTTTCTTTGGCGTAGCGTCGGCCCGACGTCGCCATTTTATAATCCAGTCAAACACCGCCGCTATCCTATGCGGGGTGGAGAAAATCCAAGAAAAAATATCACAGTAAAGGTATCACAAAAAATTGAATATCACAGTTAAATATCACAGTTAATGGGGCCAAAAGGCCCCTAAACGAGCGTAGTTTATGTACAAATTTACACTATATATAAAGTTGTTATATACACAATCTATTTACAAGTCACTATTGAACACTAGTAATAAAGTCTCGCTTGGTTGAACTTCAGAGCTAAGGTAAATACGTCCTTTCACTATGAAAGCGGAAGCCAGACTGAAAGTACGGCGCGCTAACCGATTGTGCCACTGGGGCGCACAGTGGAAACGTGCTGTCAGCCTGGGTATACCGAGACGGTACGGATAAAACCGTTCACGGTATTAAATGGAATGATTTGAACGAATGTAAATTTTCAAAAAAAATGTATTATAGTGCGGATGGGGTTCGAACCCATGCGGACATACGTCCATTGGAACTTAAGTCCAACGCCTTAACCACTCGGCCACCACACTGCCTGTATACTGCCTTTCAAAAAGGGTAGACTTTTGAAATTCCCTTTGGGTCGTATAAAAAGGAAGAGAGTTGGGGTTAGGGTTTGGAGCGTGAACCACGTCGCATTCTCTGTTAAAAATGTAGTATACAAGCAAAAAAACCTTAGCCATTCCTGCCGTGACCAGGATTCGAACCTGGGTCGTCACGGCCACAACGTGAAGTCCTAACCACTAGACGATCACGGCTATCTGGAACGCCATATGCTCAGCTTTCCACGACCGCCAAAAAATTGAATATCGATTATATGTGTCCGCTGGATATTACCGAATGCAACATATGCGGTTACTGTGCAGGTAGAGTGGCCGAGCGGTCTAAGGCACTGGTTTTAGGCACCAGTCTCTTCGGAGGCGTGGGTTCGAATCCCACCTCTGCCAGAATACTTTTGCTCAATGTTATCTTATAACATGGTGGAGCTTTTCCCTCGTCTGGCCGCAAAAACCG